GAAAGGCCAAGGGAGCATGTGATCATAAATCCACCATTTAATGGTCCTAGCCCCATGCTTTTTCCACTGCCATCCGTACAGTCCAACTCCGGCTCCATGTCTTTGTTTGCAACACTTAATCGGGCATAAACAATGTCCCCTATCTGCAAAATGAAAGAAGATCACTTAGTAATTTTAAATCATACTGTTATCACTGATACCTTTATCTGCATAACCGTAAAGTGAAGATTCAATAAATCAGTGATTAGGTATCAAAAAAAGAGAGTCAGCTGTAGAGGAGGTCAGGAAGTTACTGTTACCAGCACCCAAAGTGAACAGGGTACTCTGGATTCAAAGTGATGGGGATGATAAAGGGTTAATTTTTTTTTAGGAAAATCCAAGTAGTGGTCTATTATCAATGCTGCGTTCTGATTGGTTGAGCTACTACTAGGCTATATGTTATAGCCCACTAGTAGCGAAAAGCGCAGGCTTTTTGGCGGCAAAAAAGGATTAAAGTCTAGCTTTAATTAGCTAAATTTTTTTATTCTCTTTATTTTTGACCAACTAGTTGGATTTTACTAAAACAATAATTATTAGTCAATAGCCCATGAGGCCAAAGGCCAAATGGGGCTATTGACTCAGAGCCCATTCGGGCTCGAGGAATAATTGTTAAATATACAGTAAATAACCCAATAAATACGTGGGGCTGATCTAAGCGGAGGCTTTCAATAGAAACTGCCAGGAGGCGTTCATTCTTATAACTGTAGCAAGCTCAACAAAACTAAGCTTTGGTAAAAGAAATTATATATGTCTAGGCCGTCTAGAAATCCAAAACGCTCTTTCCTTAAATCGTTAGTCTATCCTTACTTTGAATTTGACATTTCAACACGACAAAATACTTGACTCAAACTCTGGTTGACCAACCAAGAAACTGAATGAATTGAATGATTTTGTTCTCTTTTTGTTAATTCCTAGCATTCTGGATACAGGGGATGTCCAGTACAATTTTACCAGCGTAGAGGACACACGTCCAAATATTGGCATTGGCTCATATCCATACCGATCAATCAGATACTGATTTTTTCGATTCTGTTAAATGCTTGCCCCAATATCATCACTACTAAATGAAACTGAATCGCCATAAGGTCTCAATTCTTCATCAC